TAGAGTATGGAACTCACATTTTACACATGTTGTAGATAGAGTATGGGACTCGCATTTTACACATGTTGTAGATAGAGTATTAGACTATAGTGTTTTTTAGACAGTTACTAACTAGTTTAACCACTCCACAAAGTACAGGGCACAGGTCAAATATATTATTGACTGTGGATTTGTCAACCTACTCTACACAAACACCCTGCGACCGTAGTACACAAAACAACACAGTATTTGTTCTATTATTAGCACATCTTTACTAAAACCGCACATAAACCAAAATTTTCCATGAATAATTATTTTAAAATGAAGATCTTAAAATTAATACCATACAACAAAAAGCATTCCATAGGGAAATGAGAATAATATTCTTCTTCACTCTCTTTCGTCAGGTGAGATATTTAGACAGGCATAAAACTTGCAGTCATCATGATTTGATAGAAACTAATGTGAATATCTTATTCATTATGAATCACTCGTTATTATCTGTTTAATGACAGGGGTCAGGTCTTTACATTTTACTGTAATTTTGAAAGTCCACTTTGTAAAAGAAATGTTTTTCATGTAGACTGTTTATTTCCAGGATACCTTTCAAATTCAAGGACCCTGGTATTGACAATATACATTTAAGGGAGTTCACGCTGAATTCAATGTACTGAGCATGCTAATACATATATATGCAATGTACTATGAGAGAGGACTATCCATTGTATATCATGGAAAAATATTATCACACTGGTAACTCGATAAATATTATGATGAAAACCAATATTGATATATAACCTTTTCTATTCTAAGTCACCAAACAAAATTTTTAGGCGTGGAGAAATAATTTCACCATGGAAACCAATTTTCCATGGCATTTCAGAATGTCATTTCCCACAAAATTGTCTAATGATCCTAATAGTATTAACCCATAATAAAGAAGGCATGGAAAAGATATTATATTATATATAATTATATATATAAACAACGATGATTTCTTTCTGGACCCCAAGCTGTTTGAAAATTTCTTCTTATAATTTTGGTTTATAGTTTATATATTTTTTTTTTGCAAAAGAGTGGCCTTTTTTGAACTGATGCACATTCTGACCAGACACAAAGCATTTCAGGGGACGTAGCAAAACAAAATATACATTTGTACTACCATATTTGCTTTAATAGAAACATACCTCTGATTGAAATGCACATAAACCGAAAATTGCATTAACTTTGTTTTACACACAGACATATATGCAAAAACTCTAGAGATTGTGGCAATTGATGAATTCCAAGAAAAAGGTATGCCCAAAAAAGTAGGTAGGGTAGAACAAATTTTATATATTGTGCTTTGAAAAAACAATTTAATCATGACTCGGCAGTTACACTTACCAAAGAAATGTAATTACAATACCTTTACATGTATTCATTGATTTTCAAACATTACAACAATCTAAAACATAGTCTGAAGAGACGCATCTAAACTAGTCTTCAGATACATATTTGTGATACAGCATGTTTTTAAAAAAAAGTTATATTAAAGTATTATACACATTCATCAGAGAATTGTTGCACACAATCAGCTGTTAGAGGTCATTGCATTCACATCTGCAAGATTAGTGTGTTGATAAGCAGTGATTTTCCTACAACCTAATGCACTCTCGCAGTGGCAAGCATGAATTCAAGTTTTAATTTGGTCATAAAACATCTGCTTAAATTCCTTTGATGTGTTCCCATCATATCAAGAATTATTCAGTGAATCCCTGTATTATCCCCCTTTTGTTTGTACATGTGGATCTGCGCAAAAATTGCAGTCAACAACTTTGTTAATATGGGACCCACAGGTCATGACAATAGAAGCACTTTCAGATCCATGATAGCGATGACATAATTATTCTTTTGCTAACAATCATTTTTGGTAATTATAGCTGGCAATTATTTTGTTCATCAATAAAGTATCACATAATTCCCATAGGACCATCGATAATTCAAGTAACTAAGAGTTATATTCATTTGGATGTATTCCGACGTGGTCGTTTAGAAGGCACACCCTGTTGAACATCTGTAATATGTACTATATCATCCTCTGTTCGTTCCTTGTGGGAAGTGTGCAGCATAACAGGAAATGGATCTATTGAAAATAACAAGTATGGATAAATTAAAAATTTGGTAAGTCATAAGCAGAGACAGATCAAGACACTAGGAGAAAGTCTAGTGAATTTGATTACAACTAGTAAAAATCATCAATATCTTTAACAGTAGATATCAGCAGGTAAAAAAGTTCAATATGGGAGAAAGAGGATTAAACTCTTAATTATTGTTTTAATTACTTTGCTACATGTACAGTATTTGTTTTATTATTAGTGCATACATGTACACGTCGTGAACTATAGAGAGGACTAAAAATTGATCATTTCATAGATAAGTTTAGTATTTTCATAATGCTAAGTCTATAATGAAAGGACCAAAAATGATGATGTTGCGCAGGGTACATGTTTTATGTTGCATCTAAGTCATATACATGTACAGTGTTCTTCACAAGGGGTTTTAGGTGGGTCGCCTAGTTACTTTCAACACCTGCTCACCAACGTACATCCAGCTGAAATTATTTGTAAAAAGCTTGCATTGTTCTTCCCAAGCCTAAACAAAAGAGTAGTTGCCCAACCCTTTATTTTGCTATTGTTTCAAGTCCAAAAATAAACAATGACCACTGGAAGTCTGCAAGCAGTTATCAAGTGTATTCATGGCAATGTGTCAATCGTCTAAATTTATTGTCGCCCGACATTGTTGCCACTTACTCACAGTATTGCTCACAATACGCAACCTTTCAATTTACAGCTGTATTTTTAATAATCGTCTTCCAATCACAAAAGAAGGAAGTAAATACGAGCGAAATGTACATGCACAGAAAATAAACAAATGTATTAGCAGATAGCATGTAAACTCGAACAAAAATTAAAATTCTAGCCGTATTTACAACCTTCGCTCGATTTTCATCGTGAAAACAGCATGGAGAAGGTAAACTGATGACCTTTTGGCCTACCCCATTCAGCGACTATCGACCACCCACCGCTGTTGGCGCTGTAACGATTTAGTATCTAAGTTGCAGCGCATTCTGTGTGTTTGTGTACTGAATTCAGAAAGTGGTAAAAAACATCAAATATGGCCGCCAGATTAGTTTACCACAAGTATTTGTAATTAAATACATATTTTAGTTATCTTTTCCATGTATTTTTTTCAATTTATCGATTTGTTATGTTGAATCTTTCGAGAATATAGCAGATTCTTTTATTTTGCCGATTGGTAGCATTTTTTTATTGAATTTCAAAACAATGTGTGAAAATGCAACATGTCGTGATCGTACATGTGTAAATTTATCGTACTGTCCTTCGGTACGAGTGAGTACTGATGCCACAAATAAAAATGTTATGGATTTTATTTTGACAAATCGTCCGTTTTGGCTTTGGGGACAAATCACCTCATATATTTTATACATTATAACGCAATTATATTTTGTACTTTGTGCTTTTCATCACTCAAATTCCCTTTCATGAACGCAGAAAGAACGCCAATTTTAAACTTTTTTCGTAAATATTGATATTGACCAATCTGTTTGTATTTCAAAAGATTGTAATATGTTTCAATTAAATTGAACAAGTCATTGAAAATTACACAGTCCCCGTTAAATTTTTGAAAGTTCTTTTAGTGCTTGTCATATTAGGGAGGGGTTGTCGCGAGCGTGTTTGAAACTTGAGTCCAAAGTGGCATATACAACAGATTGTTTATTTACATCAAATTTGAACAATTGTTGCATGAGAACCCCTCTGGTTTAAGACATAGCAAAGAAAAACATAGATCACAAGTGCAAGCATGTCCAAGTTATCACATTTTAAACAAACAAGATGGCCGCCAGTCGACCATATACGATCAATTTGTAAATTGAATTGACATGTACATGTATCTATTTATTCCATTGATCAAAGAAAATGATACATGGGTGACAGAGATATAGTACCGGTAATATTGCCAAAAATAAAAACAGTCGTTATTCGGCCATATTTGATTTGATTATGAAACAAAGTGACATGTATGATGTATGTGCCAAATACAAATGAAAATGGTACATAAATCTTGGAAATATAGTAGTAAGGACAAAAAGTCAGATGGCTGTCAATCGGCCATCCTAGATCTGATTTTTGAAACAAATTGTTATGAGCATGTATCTTAACATGTATAAAGTATGTACCAAATTTGAATAAAAACTGACAATGCATGTCCAAGATACCACATCTAAAAAAAAACAAAAAAAGCATGCACGGATGGACGCACACACACAGACAGTCGGAGGACATGTATCCTAACATGTATAATCTATGTAACAAATTTGAATGAAAACTGACAAAGCATGTCCAAAATACAACATTTTCAAAAAACAAGATGGCTGCCAGTCGGCCATTTTGAATCGAATTGCTAAACCACTGCATCTGCCTATGTCCCACATAAAGTACTAGGCACATGCAAAGAATGAACAGAATCGGTCCGACAGATTCTGAAATATGACTCTGGACAGACGCACGAACGGACGGAAGTACGGAGACTGAATTGTAAGTCCCCATTTTCGGACTTCGTCCAAACAGGGACTAAAAAGAATAGTAAATAACTTAGGGGTGATCTCATATTCAAACACCTTGGATTTGTGCCCATGTCAGTTCATAAATTCATAGAACACATTTTTAGTTGAGTTTGTTAAGTCTGTGAGACTGCGAGTTATCAAAATATGATGAAAGTATTAAATCGATAATGGCAACATTGTTTTCTGCAAAGGCATCTCAAAACCACAGTCCCTCTATCACTGTGTCAAAACTAAAGTCGGCGGTAACGCAACAACCCCTGGTTAATTAGTACAAGGCAGGTATTTTCAGGGTTAGTTTTTTTATGAGCAAACTCGTCTGCAGATGAATAAATTTTGCCTTGAATAAACGTTTACAGTAGTTCTTTCTTTCAGCGTGAGTCCATTTAATTTAGTTTTCTGTTTTGATTTTCGTGTCACTGGCAAATCGGAATAAATCTTCATGGCGTACACTGCATTTGTTTTTCCGGATTTAGCGATGCCACACTCCTGAAGGAATTTTTTGAAAATTAAATGCGCAACAGTAGTAATGACTTGAACACAGTAGTGCAAGTCTCAAGTGCAACTTCGTATCAACAAATTTTCGTCTTCTCATACATGTACTTATTAGCTGTCAGAGACACATATCAATTATCCAGCCCAATGAAAAGTCTGATTCACGTCCTCTGCTCAATTTGCGACTCGAGCGTAACAGTTTATCAAAACAAAACAATTTATTCAGCACTCTGTACACCATTATTTCAAATAGTGTTTTTTAGGCAAGACGCACGGTAAAATGAAGCTTGCACACAAATAAATCGACACATTTTAGAGACAACTATCTGGTCTTGGAAAATCAACGTAAACTCTGTCAATCCAAAAAATAAACAACAACTTTGGAGGTGTGAATGAGATCGGTTTGAACCACAGTTTTTATGCAAATTCGTGCGGTCGTCCTGAACCACACTGTCTATTGTTCAAACTTCCAAACTGCAAAACTGGGTTTTGTTCGGGCGATTTAGGGCAGTTTGGGTTTTCGTAGGTTTGACTCACATGTTTGAATATGAGATCACCCTTAGTGTGTACATGTATTGCAGTTCATTACATAAATGCTAGAATGTTGTATGTAAATGGTATGCAAATTTATGCTCATTAGACCGCCCACCTGCTATTTTGGATTGTGGAGAACACTGATGTACATGTATGCACAAAAAGACACAGACAATTAAAAAACACCAACCTGCTCCACGCTTCAAAGAATCGTTTCCATCTCCAACTGACTCATGAACAGCTGAACTTGATTGTTTTGTTCTAGTTGTGATCTCCTTGACTATAGACTCTGACAACTGACTCGTAGATTGGAGTGGAATTCCTGAATTGTCATCTCTACCGCCAACCCACACACCAGTCTCCTTCATTAAACCAAACCATTTGGCACATATACTCTTGACGGTCACCTGAGAGATATCAAACCGCTCTGCCAGATCCATATCAGCGAGTCCAAGCCTCAATTTACACATAACAAGAAAAAATTGATCCAAAGTTTTGATATTCTGTCGCGAACACAATGGTAGCATTTCACGCACACCAAAAAACACAAACCCAGTTTTAAAATGATGAATGTTGCTAAATCCTGTATAAAAATGAACTGCTTCATCATCGTCTTTGAATTTTTCAATACAGAACCGTTTCCTTTCCAGTGCCTGCACTTTTGCTTCGGTTTCTAAGAGACTGATTTTAAAATTAATTTCTTCCACCTCATGCCTACTTTGGAGAGCTGCAAGCTCACTTCGATGTTTGGCTGCAAGCTGAACATTTTCGTTCTTAAGTTTCTCATTAGCAAGTTTGTAGAGCGCAACTAGCTCTTCCAACTGTGACTTGCTCGTACCCACATGTTCAGTTTCCACGGTTGCTGGAGCAACGCTTTGCATCTGTGAATCACACTCGCCAACAGTGGTACTGGGATTCTCTCTAAGAGCTTTATCTGTAAAAGAATAAGACAGTATTTGTCGTTTCACTGGTGGTGCCTCAGAAACTGGCATTAACACAGAACCATGTGTGTATTCCTGGCGCATTTCTGGTTGTGTCATTCCGTGGTGTCGTAACGTAGTTGGTTGTACTCGGCCTGATTCACACACCGACTCCTTCATCATGTTCGGTTCTTTATTTAGCATCTGATGGAACTTTTCTTGTTCTTCTTGTGATCTCAAATACCTAGAATTATTTCCTGGGTCGTGCGACAATATCTCCACTTCTGTGGGTTCTTCTTTCACATATGTTGTCACCTCACTTAGTTCCTGTTGGTTTGTCGGCTTTTCCTCAACATGAGGTAAAATTCTGCTCTCTGGTTGATACGGTACAATTTCATTTTGTGGGAGGTTTGGTGGCATATCACCAGCTCGGAGGTAGGACCCCCAAACCTGATCAGTGACTGGCGAAGACTGTCGTAATTCATCAAGTTGCCTTTCATTTTCTTCTTGTTCCGCTGTAGATGCAGTCCACGAGAAGACAGTGGGTACAGCGCCACCGCGCAACCTCACCACGCCGCTCAGCGTTTTTCGCATGCTGGATATGGTAAAATGTCGGCAACACACTTTACTGCTGTCAGATATTGTTAGACTGTCACTTGGCATAATTCGTACATTCTTAAACCATTGTTTCCTCATTGCAACATCCTTTGGGAATGAGAAATACAGAGCCCTGTCACCATTGCTCATTGTCCAGCCATGCTGGTTACAACCTGGCACGCAGCAGAAAACAACCATAGCTGTAAAGGAAATACCAAAACAAAGGTTACACATCACCAGGAAATGTCATGATTAGTCACCTTTTTTTCCTGAAATTACTTTGTCAGAATGAATGGCAACTGTAATGAATTTGTTATTACCGTAAAA